TGGCTGAAAGCAGAAAATACCAGAAAGATGTTTACCTGTGTTTTATTGACTATGCAAAGGCATTTGACTATGTGGATCATAACAAATTATGGGTAACACTGTGAAGAATGGGAATTCTGGAACACTTAATTGTGCTCATGAGGAACCTGTACATAGATCAAGAGGAAGTTGTTCAAATAGAACAAGAGGATACTGCATGGTTTAAAGTCAGGAAGGGTGTGCATCAGGGTTGTATCCTTTCACCATACCTATTCTGTCTGTATGCTTAACGAATAATCCAAGAAGCTGGACTGTATGAAGAAGAATGCGGCATCAGGATTGGAGGAAGACTCTGAACAACCTGTGATACGCAGATGACATAACCTTGCTTGCTGAAAGCAAAGAGGACTTGAAGTTATTAACTGATGAAGAGCAAAGACTACAGCCTTCAGTATGAATTATACCTCAACCTAAAGAAAACCAAAATCCTCACAACTGGCCCAATAAGCAACATCATGAAAAACGGAGAAAAGATTGAAGTTGTCAGGGATTTTGTTTTACTTGGATCCACAAGCAATACCCATGGAAGCAGCAGTCAAGAAATCAAAAGATGCATTGCATTGGGCCAATCTGTTGCAAAAGACTTCTTTAAAGTATTGAAAAGCAAAGATGTCACCTTGAAGACTAAGGTGCGCCTGACCCAAGCCATGGTGTTTTCATCATATGTATGTGAAAGCTGGACGATGAATAAGGAAGACCGAAGAAGAATTGATGCCTTTGAATTGTGGTGTTGGCAAAGAATATTGAATATACCATGGACTGCCAAAAGAAAGAACAAATCTGTCTTGGAAGAAGTACAGCCAGAATGCTCGTTAGAAGCAAGGATGGCGAGACTACATCTTACATACTTTGGACATGTTGTCAGGAGGGATCAGTCCTTGGAGAAAGATATCATACTTGGTAAAGTAGAGGGTCATTGAAAAAGAGGAAGACACCCAACAAGATGGATTGACATAGTGGCTGCAGCAGTGGGCTCAAGCATAAAAGTGATTGTGAGCATGGTGCAGGACCCAGCAGTGTTTCATTCTGTGGTGCATAGGGTCACTATGAGTTGGAACCGACTCGACGGCACCTAACAACAATTGGTAAAAGAGATGCTAAAGGGTGGGGCCGTTTGCTGGTGGCTAGGGTAATGTTAGAGCAGCCTGATCCACATGATGGGCAGGTAGTGTGAGTCAGAACAGACAATCACAGTGACATCATATTTTTGATGTATAAGTTGAGAATAGTTTATTTTGAATGGCAATTGTGAATTTTCTACACCTCTTATCTCTAATCCAAGCAATATTATGAAGAACCATGGGAATGCATCCAGAAAAGATAGGGGCTGGAGCAAGTTATTTTTTTTATTCTTTGTGCTTTTATGGGAGTTAAAATAGCTAAGCTTTCCAAATGCCATTTGTCTGGAACAGACAAGGTCCCAGACATTTCTAGGTAATAAAAGTTAAATGATAATGTTAAGTGCATTTATTGAAGGAACAAGGTAGAGTGATCTGGGAGGGCTTGGTTTAATGAGGAATGGATTCTATATATTCCTTCCCATTTGCTACTACTGATGTAACCCCTGGGCTCACAGTTTCCTAACCACTTGACTTCCTTGCTGTCAGTCTGTCTCCACTCTAAGCCATCTTGCTTAGCTCTGGCAGAGTCACTGGCCTAAGGCACTGCTTTCCCATATTTCCCTATTTAGAAGGTTACAAAGTCTTCCAACCCTTGTAACACCAGCTCTGGTTCTACCACTAGCCTTTTGAGGCTTGCACCATTATTGTCCAGCTTCTCTACTATGCTGGTCTTAAAAACAAACAACTGTTGCCATAGAGTTGACTCAGACCCATGGGGACCCCAAGTGTGTTGAAGCAATACTGGGCACCACAGGATTTTTGATGGCTGATCTTTTGGAAGTAGATCGCCAGGACTTTTCTTCCAAGGCACCTCTAGGTATATGTGAACCTCCAACGTTTTGGTTAGCAGTTGAGCACGTTAACTGTTTGCACCACCCAGGAACTCCATGCTGCCCTTGTTCCCTTTCATTTCCACCTCTACTCCTTCCCCTTGTCTTTTTTATTGACCAGATAATATATGCACATGGGTCAGAATTTTAAAAGACCAGAAGAATATGAAATGAAAATAAGTCCGTCGCTTTCTGTCCTTTAGTCACCCCGTCCCCCTCCCAGTAGAAAAAATGGCATTCAGGCCTCTTTCAATTTCTGGTCCTAGCCTCCACACTTACGTGTTTTAGCTCATTCTGTTCGTTATTACCTGTATGTCCTTCACAAAGCCCTCAATGAACCAGCATAGGTGTTCAGACAGTAATTGATAAGTAAATGATGTCGTTGGATCGAATGTCCTTTGCACTTTACTTGCAGCAAGTATGGGGGCTCCTGAAGTGCAGAAGCTATGCCTGAAGCATGTGCTTGCCACACAGTAAGGCTCGGTATAAACCACAAAATGATAAATAACCGGTAACAGCGACCACACTGAGAGGGAGTGGGTTCTCTGCACAAGAACATACTGACCAGTCAGTCCCTTATCCAAGAGCTCCTCTCCTTTCCTCTGCATTCTTGCTTACTCCAGACTATCCATTTCTACCCTTTTACGGAGCAGACAACCACCAGCCACGCGCAGAAAGCAACAGACACATCCTCGCAAAAAATTGCGCGGCAGCTGACTGGAAGAATTTTGTCCCGTCCGCTCCCCGTCTCTACTCGCGGGGCTAGCGGCAGCGTCGCTGTGCGTCCTTGCGCAGCCGCAGTTCTGGGGAAGGGGGCGGGGCCGGTTGTTGGCGGCGTTGGCGCGGCCCGGGAGGCGGCTGCACGTGCGGGCTGGGGGTGGGGGGAGATGCGTCACTGATCGGTGAGGCACGGCCGAGGGGGTCGGCCTCCCTCCGGGGCCGGCCACTGGGCCCCTTCTCAGTTAGTGCCTTCCGGCGGGAGAGCAACCGTTGGGAGAGGGAGGTGTCATGAGGCTCACCTGCCCGGGGTTGGCCCACAGGCCGTCTCGGGCGGAGGGATTGGCGAGGGGGAAGCGGTCTCTGCGAGGAAGGAAAAACGAGGGGAAAGGGGCACAGGACTCCCCGGCTCGGCCTGCGGTCGGGCGCCTAGTCTCCGTAGCGGGAGGGTGGTCACTGGAGGGGGTGCGCCTGTCGCTCACCGGGCTGGGGATCCTTCCCTCCCTCATCCAGGAGGAACAAGGATGAATATGACTCAAGCTCGGGTTCTGGTGGCTGCAGTGGTGGGGCTGGTGGTTGTCTTCCTGTATGCCTCCATCCACAAGATCGAAGAAGGACACCTGGCTGTGTACTACAGGTGAGCGGCGTGTGCAGTCAGTTCAGGTTCTAGAGCAGAGAGAAAGAGGACTCCCTTTAGAGTGGAGTCTAGAAGTTGGTCCCTCTGCAGCGTCCTGAAGAGCCCTTCTCAGTCCTAGGAAGTGATTTTCGTTCCAGCCCAAGGGATAGTTTAGGGACAGCAGCAGGCTTTTGCAGGGTACCCTCCAGATGTTTGACAGTTTTCGTCCTACATACATTTTGTTGCAGAGGTTTAGACCCCTGGCTGTTATTTTTAGTATACAACACTCAGTTGTTTGAAGAAAGAAGGAAGGCAGGCAGGCAATAGTCACTCCACCTGTAACAAAGAGATGGATAAGTTGTCATTACATTCCATATAACTGCACAGGCTTTTAGTTTGTAACTTTAGATGCTGTTTAGAGAATCCAGACCTGTTTATGGTTGTTCCTTGGATTTTTCCTTTTAAAGCCGCCGAGTGTCTGGCTTATAAGGCCTTGATGACCGTGGTAGTTGTTGTATCCCCGGATCTTGAGGGACATAAACAGGATTGATGGGCCACCCTACTCCCACCTTACTTTTTCATTTCAAGTTGAGGAGAGGAATGGTATGAAATATATTACTCTCTAATTGAGCTTGCATAGCCTTTCTTTCAGGATAATTACCACCAGTTCCATTTTTATACAGACTAGTAAGAGAGAGGACAGTTTGTGGAAAAGTTGGCATAGTGGTGTTTACAAAAAGAGCTTCAGCTTTTTGCTTGTTTTTGTCCACCCCCCCAACTTGATATTTCTTCTTTTAGATCCATCTTGAGTCTTAGAAACAGTCTTCAGTGTGAGGAGCTAATTTCAACTACAATTTTAGCATAAGAAATGACAGATTAGTCTAGTTTTCCATTCTAGTTGAGCATTTTCTTCCTGACAGTAAAACCAAGGAAAGAACATTTCAGGGTATGCCTCTCAAAGAATTAGAGACCAACCTTAAATAGTTCATCTTTCCTTAGTTATTTGTTATGAGTTCTTTGCACACCTATTTATATTTTCAGGATAGGAAACTTTAAGTTCTATGAATTTATTACAAACTGTGTAAAGTAGGACTTTTAATATTTGTTCCCCAAATGCCTCATTTTTTATAATTTTTGAGGTGGGCTTTCTTACATTCCCTTGTTCAGAGAACAAGTCCATGTTCATATTCTATCTGTAATCTTATCCCCTCACCATTCATCTTTCCATGCTAATTTTTCTCCTGCTTTTATATGGAGACTTTATACCCTCAGTATTTTAGTTGCCTTGCAGATAGAGTAAAAGAATCTTGAGCCTCAGAAATCTTCTGCTTTCTTGAAAGTTTGTGTCTTCTTTTTTTCAACCCAGTGATCAAATGTTTTGATCTGACTCTTGTTATGTACGATTAAACTGTGAGCCCTTGGAGTTTTTTTCTAAAAGTGTTTCTCAGAAGGTTAAACACCAAGGAGAATCCTTTGAACCTGACAGCGGTACAGGAGAGCCAGAGGTACAGTTGGTCGAGCTTATGAAACAAGGTGTAACATCCAGCAATTTAACTTGATCTTTTCACCTTTTGGGGTGTGGCAGGTATTTTAGGGAGCAGCAGTTGTTCACCAAGAATAATTCATGTTAGTAAGGCTTTAGTAGATCAGTAGCATGAGTAAGAGTGAATATTTGTTATAGCATTTTAGATTTGGAAAGAGAATTTCTCTCTTTATAATCTTATCAAATTGAAACGTCTTTTTGCAGGGGAGGAGCTTTACTAACTAGCCCCAGTGGACCAGGCTATCATATCATGTTGCCTTTCATTACTACGTTCAGATCTGTGCAGGTGAGTGATTCCTAGGGAAGCCCCCACACTGGATAGACAGGTGTAACCGGAGCACCTCCCACACTTGGTAGCTCGGGTGGAGATGGATTTCCTTATTGCTTAGGCAGATGGTAGCATTTACTTAAATGCAGGGGTTAAAGTTCAGAGAACAATTGTCATAGGACACGTTATGATGAACCACCTCACTCTCTTGAAATGCATTAGAAGTAGGAGCTAGGCAGCTTGGAAAGCCTGACTTCTCCCATCTTTATAGTGGTATGCAGCAGGTTTTCTGTAAGTATTTGTTACTGCTTTCAAAATAAAAGCAAGAATTGGGAACACAGTTAGAAATGGCAAACCTTGATTTGGAACATTGTTTGGTTTCCATAGAGGCAGGCTCCTGAGCTACTGTTATCATGGAGGATCTGAATTTCTGTATGTACACAGTTTTTCTGCCTTAAGTTTTTTGCCTAGTATATTAGCACAATTTTATGTGGAGCCTTAGTGAACGTTCTGTTTTGACAACATCCTAGAATATTTGAAATGAGCATCTAATCATCTAAAAGAGTATCTTGACCATGAGAGACAGTTAATACATATCTTTTAACATAAGATGACAAAATAGAATTAGACTGTGACTACATTTGCAAGCTCTATATGATTATAAATTTTTGGATTCGGAAGATATTTCTTTACCATATTCTGCTGATTTTTCAGAACTCAGGAAAATGTAGATGTCATTTAATTTTGTTGGCGGTTGAGTCAGCCCCTGACTCATGGTGACCCCGTCTCTGACTCATGGTGACCCTGTGCACATGGACCGTGTGATCCGTAGGGTTTTTGTTGGCTGATTTTTGGGATCTAGATCACCAGACCTTTCCTCTAGTTTGTCTTAGTCTGAAAGCTCTGCTGAAACCTGTTTAGCGTCATAGCAACATGTAAGCCTCCGCTGAGGGATGGGTGGTGGCTGCACATGAGGTACATTGGCCAGGAATCAAACCAGAGTCTCCTGCATGGGAGGCAAGAATCCTACAACTGAAGCATCATTGTTCTCTATTTAATCTTCGCCTTGTAATTTAAGTTTATGCTTCTTGCTAAGGAAGAGTGTCATTATGAATACTTAAATCCCCTAAGTTTCCTTCTAGTCTTCTTTTAGGTGGCTTAGGGCGAGAATGTGTCTACTGAAGAGAAATGTGATGTTCTTCCCTTAGTCAGATTGATTTCCATGTTGTTTTCCCACGTTTATTCACTCTTATCTTAGTTTCTGCTCACCTCTTCTCTTACCATCTCTCCCTCCATTCCTTCTCTTTTTTCCTGCCTAAATCTTGCTAGCCTTTTTTAGGCTCATCTCAAACTCCTCCTCTTCTCATCTGTAGCTCTTAAAGTCTGTATTGTAAGTTTTGGCCCTTGGTCTTATTTCCTTTAATAATGTTGTCTAAGTTTCTGTGTATATTTTCTTTCAAAAAAGTCTCTATGCTTCTGGAGGCTTGGGGGCATGGGTTGTGGCATACTTAAATTTCTGCCTTCCCACTTATGGCGGAAGTTCTTAAATTGAGCTGATTTCTTAAGGAAGTAGTGTGGTGTGGTGAACTTGGGGCCAGAAATCTGGAGACTTAGGTTCTGGCCCTGCCTCTCCCACCAATTGGCTGCATGACTTTTGGCAAATCACTTAACTGTTGTAGACTTCAGTTATTCCTCTGCAAAAGAAGGGATTTTAATTACATGACCTCACTTTCCCAAGAGCCCAAACAGTCTGTATTGATGTTAGCAGCAGCAACAACAAACCCTTAGAGATAAGAGGCTTTTTTAGAGTATTCAAAGCCAGGTAAATCTGTGTCTTCTTAAAGCTTAGCATGTTAAGTCATACTCAATGAAGAGACATAAAAAGGAGATACAGACAATAAACATTAAACAGATTTAAGAGTTCAGTTACATATATAGTAAATATATGTATATGCACACAAATTGTCATGAGAGATGTAAATGAAGTTTGTAAAAAGATTTCAGTGAAAACTAATAGACTTTGCACTAACAAAAAACAATGTTAGGGCCAGTGAGACTAGGAATGTTCTTTCTTACTTTATGTGTGAAATAGGAACATTCTAGGAAGAATTACATTAATCAAATCCTTTTAAGACATTGTTCTGATAAGAATGAGACATAAATTCATTTTTTAGAAATTCTTTGAGCACATTCAAAGACACAGCCCAATATAAATAAATGGTTTAAGAAACTTGGTAATTGGAGGGAATATATATGAAGCGTCTTGGGAAATGTGAAATCCCATGTATCATGTAAGAGAAAAGAATGCTTAGAGAAATGATCTGAAACCTTCAGTCCTTAGAGTATGTATAAAATAACCAAAGACTTGCTTTCAAAATCAATATTCTGTTATGCTGGGAAAGTAATTTTTAAGATAAAAGAAGAACAGTTGTGGAGATAGAATGTTAACTTGAAGTTTAACATTTGAACTCTTTCCTAGTTCTTGGTTCAAAAATTGACCAGAGAATATCCTTTAGGTTTAAATACGAATGTATATTATATTTAAAGTTGGTGTGGAATATGGAAATTCCGTTTGGTTAATGTTTTGAAGGCAATAAGTTGAACTCATCTCACCCTCACTTTCCCTAGAAGTGTCACTAATGTTTACCATCACCCCTCCCAGAATTTTATATTCAACCAGTTACCAAATCCTTCCTCTATTATATCTCTTGAATTAACAACTTTCAATTCCCATACCCTTTACTAAATTAACCTGAATAAATTAATACTTGAGTTTCCCAGCTTCTATTTATAATAAATAATGAGAACCACATCACGTATTTGCAAGGGAATTAAGTAAAGAACATATTTTTGAAAGGTTCATTTTTTGACTATCTGTAAGGTAGACTAGGGAAAGCTCAAACTTCCCAGCCAACATTCAGGGTTCTCCTCTACCTAATACCAACTTGTTCTGAGAATTTCAGCTCTCATCTGAATTGCCCCATCTGCTCTAGGCAAGCTGGTCATCTTCCTGTCTCCTGTACACACAGTTTGTCCTCAACTTTGTGTATCTGAATAGGACATTTACTGAGCTGAAGATGTTGCTTTGGCTCAACTGTTAGTTCTTATTTCTCCCTCTTTAGGCCTGGCTTAGGAGCCCTCGTGCCTCAGTGGTTAAGTGGTTAAATGCTGGGCTGCTAATTGAAAGATTGGCAATTCAAACCCACCCAGTGGCTCTGCGGGAGAAAAATGTGGCAGTCTGCTCCCATAAAGATTTACAGCCTTGGAAACCCTATGGGGCAGTTCTGCTCTGTCTTGTAGGGTCGCTATGAGTAAGAATCGACTCAGTGGCAATTGGTTTGGTTTGGTTTTTGGTAGACCTCGCTTATAAGTACTTTACCTCAGAGAGCAGCTCAAACTACTGTTTTACTCTCTATCACTTAACACATAACAGCACGGTTTGTACTTTGTTGTTTTGTACCTGTTGATAGGTTGCTTTGTAAGGTTTTTATCTCCTCTCCTAGATTGTGAGCTCTTGGCAAACAGGACTCAGGTTTCCTTTTTCTTTTGTATTCCATAAGGTAGTATGTTGCTGTGTGCTTAAATAAGGCATTGTGTGTCCAGAATACGCTCATTAGATGCTATTGGAGGCACCTATTAGAGGTCTTAAGAGTGTGGCAGGGAGTCATCCTGGATCAGAACAAAGGTGTGACATGGGCAAGACAGTCATGCATCAGATTATTGGTTCACCAGAATGAAGCAGTGCAGGTGGTGGCACTTCTGCAAAGAAAATTGATGATCCATGTGAGAGAGATCACTAGGGCTTGACCTAAAACATTGACTATAGCTTTAGAGAAGAAAGGTTGCTGTTGAGTTCAGGCGGCACCTTTGAGTTATAGACTGCTTGAAGTACATAATAGTTATATTTTATCTTCAGTGTGAACAGTAATATGAGCAGTGGAATCAGAGTTCAGAGTGCAGGTCCTAGCTATACTATCCTCTTGGGGCAGCAGTGTAGTTTGCTTACATTCCCAGGCTAGCACCAGGCAAATGTGGGACTCTGAAAGAACAGTTTTCTGCTTATTAGCATTTGAACCCTTTCCTAGTGCATCTTTATTCAAACATTAGCTATAAAACATTTTGTCTCAAATCTTTAATTTCTACTAGGATACAAAAAGAAATGATTCCTATGACAGTTAATCTTTGGGGAACTGAAATTGTTACGGAGCTCTCCTGTACTTACTTCTCAGCAGCCCTCCAGGGGTTTTCCCCTGGGGTCAGTAGTTCTTTGAAGATATGTGTCCTGAGTATTGATGTATTTTTCCCTCCCCAGACAACACTACAAACTGATGAAGTTAAAAATGTGCCTTGTGGAACAAGGTAAGCTTTCCTCTTGCTTACCAGCCTCCTTTAGTTCAGATGGAGTTTCTGTTCATAAAACTGTGATCACCTAGACTTCATTCAAACAGGCACGACAGTAACCCAGGAGTATTTCTGTTCTGAGCATTATTTGAGCAAAAGCTTGTCTCTAAATGGAAGCGTTTCATATTAAGAGCCCTTATGGTGTTATCAAAAAAAGTATGTATTTTAGAGACAGCAGACTTGACATCACATGTCAGCATTGCTGCATCTGCTTTTGAGTTTTCCAAGCTTAGTTTCCTCACTTGTAAAACTCAGGCAATAAGACCTATCTTGTAAAGTTAGATTGTAAGGATTAGGATTAGTGCATTTAAAGTGCATAACCTAGCAGTTGGCCCAGAGTAGTTGCTAAATACAAGGTGGTTTTAAATTAAATCATCCCACCTTCTTCCCATCTGTAGTCTCAAATGTCATCTATTTTATAGTTCTGATTCAGTAGTCTGGAGTGAAGTCCAAGGATTTTCATTTCTAGCAAAAGTTCTCAGGTGGTGCTGATGCTGCTAGTCCAAGGACCTCACTTTGGGAATCACTGCCCTAAAGAGCTTTAGGGAGAGAAAGGCAAGCAAGGCCCAGATTATTTCTAGAGTATAATCAGTACATTGAATTGTATCAAAAGAAGTATGTAAAGTCCATGGCATTTTTTAAATGACCGAAACAACATATTGAAGCCTATAAAAGAGCCTTTAACATCTATAGAAGGACAGAAATGGTTTTAAAAACGGGAGCAAATGCCCTGTGTTTTAAGCTAATATATTTGATTATCAAGTTCTCCCTAGGTCTGTCTGTAACTCTTTTATGGTTTTCTTTTAGAGATGACTTAAAATTGGCAGCTGGTGGGATTTTGGATAATTTTTATTTTCACGCCTTTCTAAATTTCCCAGATTTTCTTCAGTAAACAGGTGTTAACCATTTATTTAAAAAAAAAAAATTGTAAATCAGTAGGAAGAATGTTATTTCTGTAGAGTTGGAAAATCTTTAACTCCATGTGTCTTAAATTGAGGTACACATGCCCTTCAGAGTATGTACTGGTAGGTCAGGATGTATACCAAACCAAAACCAAACCCATTGCCGTTGAGTTGATTCTGACTCATAGCAACTCTATAGGACAGAGTAAAACATCCCCGTAGTGTTTCCAAGGAGCAGCTGGTGGATTTGAACTGCCGACCTTTTGGTTAGCAGCCAAGCTCTTAAACACTGTGCCACCAGGGCCCCCCAGGAAGTATAGGAAGCCATAAACAAGACCTGTCTTTCTGTAGTGCCAGCTTTACTTGAAGGGGGCAGATTCTTTTCATATTAGAATAAATACAGATAAGTAGATTTAAAATCCTGGTGAATTGTTAAAATAAGGCAGGGAACATCAAAAAAATTTTCAGCTTGTGACTGGCCTCTGTACGTCTTGGGAACCTTTTCACTTTACTTGGTTCCTTGGTGGAAAAGTGGAGAAGTGCACTGCCTTAGCTGGTGGCTTCATTGAATTAGGGAAAAGTAGTAAGTAGCTCTAGGTTATAGATTCAGTCCTCATGTGAGCCAGTTTGATCACAGCTGGTACAGAGGTGGGCATTTGATTGAGAGGAGCCAGGTGAGTGTGTGTAGGCAGAATAGTAGAGTGCCCTCTCTGCCCTTAGAAGGGCCATTTTAATCAAGCAGTAGCATATGTCTATAGATTTTCCTTGTAAATTTCTATTATGTGGCATATGTTTGGGCATATAGGATTAATTTGGGATTATCATAGGCTTATATTTGACTTACGTGTCTTCCATTTCTTTGTTTTTAGTGGTGGGGTCATGATCTATATTGACCGAATAGAAGTGGTTAATATGTTGGCTCCTTACGCAGGTATGGTACTCATCTACTGTTTTTTTTTTAAATAGTTCTCATTAGAGAACTTACAATTTGAGAGATTCCCTGAGGAATAGGAAGGTACTTTTAAAGTTTCATGATATCAGTGACTTCTGACAAATGTAAGAGAAGAGTCAGTGGAATATTCTGGACAGATTGACTTTCTGCAACTATATGGGTTGCTCTTCTCTTGAGTAGAGTGGCTTCTAAGAGCAAGAAGATCACTGATTATTTCTAGAATTGGAAAGTAGCATTTTATCATGTCAGGATGAGAACTTATTTCCTTGTGTGGTAAAAATCTGTCGTTTATTGATTTTGTGACTATAGAGAAGTCTTTTCTAGTTGATATTTGGTCTCACTTGCAAAGCAATCTGAAAGTCTTCAGTGAAGGGAAAGCATTTTCTTGGTAAAGATGAAAACCCACAGAGATGGAATGGGCACAGTTCAAATAAAAAACTTAATTAGAAGCTTTGGCAGAGCTCTAAAGAACAATTTGCCATTTATCTTCATCCTTCTTGTCGAAAACTAGCATGCCTGGTATGTACAGGGTGCTACTGTGCTTGGCAAGGACAGTTCACAGAGGTGAAGTTATAGCTTCTGCCCTCAAAGAGTTTTTATTTTACTTGAGCAGACATGATACACACCTAAAAAGATATACTGGGATATAAGGCCATGTTAAATTTAACATCACAGGTATAGGCAAAAATAAAAAACAGCAAAAAGATTTCAGAGCAGAAAGCAGGCTGTATTGCTGTCAAGTGAATTTGGATCAGTTTGTAAGCATTTTCCTTATCTTTTTTTGTCTACTTTCCCTGGTGTAAAATGCATGTAGTAGCAGTAATAGTAATAATGTCATCAGAACCTGTCTTAACTTTAGGGGAGATAATGACCGGGATCAGCCCAAAGCGATCCCTGTGAGGTGGAGGTCAGACATACCTCCACTCTCCAACCTTTTTAAAAATCCTAACACCAGCTGTCCCATGGCACTCTCTGCTTTTCTTCTGGGTTCAATAATTTGTTGCAATGGCCACACAGAACATCACAGACCATACTTACAGTTAAGTGGTTTATTAAGAACAGGCTGCAACTCAGCAATCAGGATCAGGAAGCATGTGGGCAGGGTCTCCCTTCTTCAGTGCAGGACAGTTCTCTCAACTCTTCTTGCCCCTCCCCTCTGTCACTGTCAGCTCTGCCAGTGGTCCCTCTCCTGGCCTGTTGATGCTGGCTCTGCTGCTGAGCCCCTGCTGGGCCTCTCACTGTCTTCAGTGTTACAGCTCTTGACCATTGTTACAGCTCTTGGGAAGTTCCTTGCCTCCTTTCTCTCTCTGCCTCTTCTTTCTGCTTTCTTCCTTCTTCCTGCTGCTTTTCTTCTTCTTTCTGTCTGACTAAACCTCTGTGGGGCTGGCTGCTTAAATAAACTCCTTGTCAGTTTAAGGCATGGCACTTCCATCAGGGCCATGAACTGACCAGTCTCCTCTCAAACTCTCCAGTCCACTCTTGGTAGGCCATAGACACTTCAGCACTTCATTTGCATAGCAGGCACAGCTGGGGGTTACAGCTCACCTTATTTGCATAGCCCATTGAGGCACATACCAATTACAGGGCAGGCTGCAGTCCAGGATCAGACAGAAGTATCAAACTAAGTTGTTTACAACTTAGGAAATGTAAGTTAACCTGGACAAAAGTAAGAAAACCTCTAGGGTGGAAAACTAGGGCAAAGATAACTGTTCAGGGCTTAGGGGAAAAATCTCTCAACCTGTTTTTCGAAAGAACCAAGGCAGAAAGCCAGAAGGAACTCATTTCATCACACCTGATCACAAATCATTGAAATAAATTACAGGCAGTCCCCAGGTTACAGATTACGAATGAGATCAGTTCCTAACTGTGTCTTTTAAGTCAAATTTGTAGGTAAGTCAGAACAGGTGCATACGATTCTTATTTACCCTTACAAGAAAACTAAAGGCTCGAAGCCTTTGCAATGATTTGAAAGCTGCACGTGCAGCAGGTGACGGTGATTATGATGAAGCATTTTTTGCCACTAGGGGTTGGTTCAAAGTGAGGGCAAATTTACATAAGAATAAATGACTGGTACCTCTTCCTAGCCCAGGGACCGCGTGTATAGTCAGAAAAAGGGAAGACTGATGGTTCTCTAGCCAGAGATTAATAGGAAACTATTAGATCACCAATTCATTTGGAAAATGATCAAGTGAGTCATTGCATCCAATATCCTGCATGGAAAAGCCAGTGGAGCAAGTCCTTGGGTCTGCGGGCAGAAAGCAGCATGTTTTGGTAGGTAGAGCACAGGTTCTGACACGGGCTAGTATATTCCCTTTGACACATTTCTGAAATTCTCTGGCTCTCAGTGCCCTAATATGTAAAATTAGGTATATTTGGGAGAATTAAGTGCCGATGTATGTAAATTACATAAGGCCTCATCCTGTAAATGTTAGCTTCTTTGCCTTCTAGCCTGGTGTCTCTTTCACAGTCTTTCAAAACTGCATTTTTAAGTGCATTCTCCTACATTCCTGGTTCTTCACAGCCTAGACCAAACAATGTTTTTAAAAGTAGGCATTTTATATATGTTTTTTTTTTTAAATGCCTTTTTTTTACATGGTCTTTTGCAGCTGCTGCCCTCTTTTATTCCTACTGTTATCAATTAGCTCAGGTCTTCTTTACTTCTTAGCTAAACTTTTGCAGTAATTGCCTTCCACCTTCCCTGCCTTTGGTCTCTATGCCTCTCAGTTCATCTTCACATTGCTGCCAGTACAGATTTGATTATGCGACTGCTAAAATACAAACCTGAATGTGCCATGCCCTTCCTTGAAAACTTCAAGCTTCCTGTTACCTCCAAAATGATGTATACTTTGCTTAGTATGGAATTCAAAGTTTGCCCATTGGTATTGCAAATGCTAAAAAAATCTGGAAAATTCGAGCACGAGGATCACAAGGTTTGTGAGTTGTGTTTTATTTTTTACTATTTTGTTAACACGTTTGCTCGTGTACATTATTTCACTGTAACTTTTACCCTAACTGAATTAGAAGATACCTAGGTCACTTTTACATAAAACAAACACGGATTGTCCCTCTCCTTCAGTGTTTGATATCGTGAGGAACTATACTGCAGATTATGACAAGACCCTAATCTTCAATAAAATCCACCATGAGCTGAACCAGTTCTGTAGTGCCCACACGCTTCAAGAAGTTTACATTGAATTGTTTGGTAAGTGGAAATCTTGTTCAACTTGTTCATGGATGCCATAATAATGTTAGTAAACCTTATATTGGAGCTCTGGTGGTGTAGTGGTTAAAAGCTCAGCTGCTAACCGAAAGGTCTGCAGTTTAAATCCACCACCCTCTCCTTGGAAACCCTATGAGGTGGTTCTACTCTGTCCTATCAGGTCGCTCACTATGAGTCTGAATGGACTTGGCAGCAGTGGGTTTTTTTGGTTAAAACCTTATGTTATATGAACATTTCTTCTGATTTTATAATAGAGTAATTGTCTTTAAAATAGTTTATTTTTGTCCTAAGTTTAAAATTTCTTGTCATGATGAAGCGAATAAGTAGACAAGATATTTTAAGAATAGATATTTTCTGAAATGCATAATACGTAACTTGGTAGAATTGGAAAAACTTCATTTACTTACAGGCTACATTCTGGTTGTACTGTGATAACATAAAATTAGCTTTGTTGCTAATTTAATAGATAACTTGAGGAAATTTAGAAGGCTGTGAGGAATTAAGTCTTGTGGGGACTCCCAAGACCAGCCCCAGATTTGATGATTTACTAAGAGGACTGACAGGAGCCAGCATATAGTCATACTTGTGGCTGAGATTTTATAGCGAAAGGATACAAAGCAAAATCAGCAAAGGGAAAAGCTCATGAGGCGAAGTCCAGAGGGAAGCAGGCACAAGCTTCCAAGAATTATCTCCCAGTGGTATCACACAGGACATACTTAATTCCTCCAGCATTGAATTGTGACAGCACTTGTGAAGTATAGGCTACCAGGGTCAGCGCCCAAGGTTTTATTGGGGCTGGTCACGTAGGCCTAGCATGTAGCAAACTTCCAGACTCTAGAAGGAAAACAGGTGTTCAGCTACTCTTACCAGTTCTGGGAATGGTGGGAATTCTCCCCAAATCCAATTCAGATGGCAGCCAAGGGCCAATCTTAAAAACAGGCCTCTCTAAGGATTTCAGTCTCAGGCCTGCTATGTTAACTCTTCTGCACAAGTTACATTTCATTTGTGATAGTGAAAGCTCTGACCAGGGAATCCATTGTTGCTATTGATAGCTCACTTCTCCCTCCTGGAATTCCTAGTGAATTTCTGAGAAAGAGGCACAGGGTTGGTTATAATCAATTTAGAGATCTACCAATTGATTCTTCTTTGATTATTGTACTTCGATGGATATGAGGAAACTTATCTGTCCTAATTTGTCACATCGCTAGTCACCATTTGAATAGTGGTGAAAGTACCATTGAGGTGGATAGAAAATCCACGAATTACAAGTTACAAGCGAAGTGGCATCTTTATTGCCCATCTGTATGTGCTTCAAAGACCTTGCTGTGAGCTTTTTTCCCTCTTTTTAAATCTAAAGTAATTGTAAGCTGAGGTACATGGAAATGAAATTTAGTTACTTTTGGATTTGGGTAAAGGTTGACTGAAGATAGGAATTTGCTTTTTTCTGAGAATCGGGACACAAGAGCCCTGAATTAAAATACTATAGACCCAGATTCTCCGCTTCTTCATTATTGGATAAATGTAGACTGCTGCTTGTCATCTTCCTTCCTTAAATTTTTTATTAGATAATTCCTCATACTTCCTCCCACACAAAAGAAAAACAGAATTAATGTGTGTGTGTGTGTATATATGTCTATGTATCTACCTACCTACCTAATCTGAAGCAGTTTAACAGTTTTTCTATTAAAGAATAGTACTATGGAAACTTTAGGTCTAATAATGATGGGTTTTATTATTTTAAAAAAAGAGTATCATGAGAGCTGTTGTTCTTGGCTTCAAAAACAGATCAAATAGATGAAAACCTGAAGCAAGCTCTGCAGAATGATTTAAATGTCATGGCTCCAGGTCTCACTATACAGGTAAGCCCTTTTCCTTGGGATGTTCTCTGAGAATTTGGAGAGCTCTAAATTTAGTCCTGCTTTCATCAAATTGTTTATTCAGGAATTATTTAATTGACGTTCTGTGGTAATTTGTAGACTACCTTTCTCATTTTTTACTTTAAGTAAAATATTCTTTCGGCTTACCATGAGTAGCATTTTCGTATGAACACTCGTATAAGGAACAGATAAGCTGAGGTTCTTAAAAGGAAATAAAATCCATATACTTGCTACACGTGAGGCATTATGAGTATACAGTAGTATCTATAAATCAGTGTAAGAGTAACACTTGCCCTCAGATTTGAACAATAATTCTAAACAAAATAAATGGCACAAAGTTTTAATTGACAGATGAATTGATTATATTATGAATGCTGTAAGAGTTAGAATATTTCAAGAGAGTGTGATCTGGTAAGACTATGATTGAGTTGAGATTTTAGTTCGGTGTGGAAGAATTATTACAATTTATATGGGGGAGAGGTGTGAGGAAAGTATTTCCAGTGGGTGGGGTGGCCTGAGTAAAAGCAAGGTAGCAGATGAATTTAGCGGCAGTGGGAGATAGAATGGTGAGTGGCTATACGCCTACTATTCTGGATTAGTATTTTTTCTGATTGTGGGTAGAAATTCATTGGTGAGTTGTAGAATCAATTTTAATGGGTGAGGACAGCATTTTAAATAAAGTGGAATAGAATAGGAAAAGAAATTAGAGCACGTGGCATGTAATAAGGTTAAATATTCTGTGAGACTTTTATTTGTTTCATGTAAGCGTGTGGGGGTGGATGTTTCAATTGGGTCTCACTGTAAAATGCATTTCTTTCTGTGATTATGGTCAGTAATGTTTGAAAGCCACTGCTCTGGATCTGGATTATCTGAGAAGTGGCAGTGTGGCTTCTCTGGTGTCCTTTCTCAGAGGTTCTAGATCAGTTGATAGTTGTGAAGAACGTTACCTTCAGCTACAGACAAAGCTTTCTTAGGTGTCAGATGTGTCTCAATTCTTTAAATAAATAAATGAGACTAGGAAGACAGGCAGGGCTTTTCCTGTGGCCTCATTCGTGCTATGCCATTGTCTCACATAGTCCCTGAGAGTGAGCCAGCAAAGTTAAGGAGTCCTTTGAAACATCCAGAACTAACTTTGTAATAAACTCTATCAGTTATGCGGTCAATTATGGCTGGCGTAGCTTTTTAATTTTCAAAAAAAAAAAAATGAATGTGACTGTCATAGAATCTTAGATTCTGCCCAGGTTGTTACTTAGAGATCTAACTCATTCCTTTTAACAACTGCCTAGAATTCTTTTCTTCATATTACTTAACCATTGCCTTACTGTTTCCAGTTTTTTACTATTAATAAACAAAGTGGAGTGAGCATTCCTGACATGTTTCCTTATAAATATGCACAGTGTTTATCTAAGGTAGAAACCTAGAAGCAAAGTTTTTTTTTGCTAAATTGTAGGGTCAGCACGTTGCCGTTGAGTTGATTCTGACTCATTTTGTCTCCAAGTGTTATGGAGCAGAACTCTGTAGGGTTTTCTTGGCTGTAATCTTTAGAGGGTGGATTGCCAGGCCTTTCTTCCATGGCACCACTGGGTGGGTTCAAACTGCCAACATGTAGGTTAGTAGTTGAGCACAAACCATTTGTTCCACCTAGGGACCTTTTTGTTATTAATAGAGATCATCAAATTATCCTTCAAAGTGAGTATATAAATACACATTTTTACCAGGAGTATTTTTGTTTCCCCACAACCTCATCAGCATTTGAAGCAATCAGACCTCTTAATTTTTGCTTTGTGGATAGTGTGAAGATGTCTCTTTGACTTACATTTCCTTGATTATTAATGAGGTTAAGCATCTTTTGGTATTTTTACTGGTCATTTATATTCTCTTCTGTAAATTGCCTCTTCATATCCTTTGCCTGTTTTTCCGTTGAATTGTTTTTCTTTTTTACAGATTTGTTATGGTTCTTTGTATATTTTCCATATTTTTATACACACACATTATATATGTTGTGGAAAAAAAATTAGGTAGTAGGAAAAGCATGAAGAACAAAGTGAAGTTCACCAGTTTGTATTCTTACTATATAGAAAAAAATCACTTTTAACAAAAAAATCACTTTTAACAATTTATTAGGTTATTCCAGACTCTTCTTAATATACAGGAACGTATGTTATAGACATAAATAAATAAATTTTAAACAAAATGAAATCATACCATACCTGGTTTTTTTTTTTTCACTAACTAAGCCCTGGCAATCTACTTCTGAAAAATCAGCCATTGAAAACCCTATGGAGCACAGTGCTAGTCTGACACAATGAGGTCTTCATGAGTTGGATCAACTCGATGGCAGTTTGTTTTGTTTTGTTTTGTTTTTTTGTTTTAGTGAGGTTGAATGTCCTAGGATATTTGTTGGCCATTTGTATTTCATTTGTGAATTGTTCGTTGCGTTGATCAATTATTTGGTGGTGATTTATCAGTTTTTCTCAGTGATTTAAATACACTATTTGTTAATATGTTTAAGTTTTTGCAGCTCTTTTAAATGCATTGGAACATTTTCTCCCAGGTGTTTTTGTTTTGTTTTTGTCACTTGGTTTTTTCATCCTAACAATTCTGAAGCTTTTTTGTCCTAACAATTCTGAAGCTTTAAACTTTTACATAGTCATTTTATTCTTTTTTACTTTGTGATGTTTGGCTTTGTTGGCACACCATAAGAGCCTTATAGAAATTTAAATAAAATCAGAAATTATAAAATTTTTCTCTCCTTTTATGGTTGTATTTTAGATTTAAATCTTTAATCCATCTGGAATCCATTTTGATGTCAATTGTGAAGTAGCCTCTAATTTCCTCTTCTGTATTGGATAGCAACTGTGATTTACTGAAGAATTTATCCTCCCTCCTTCTCCCCTCCTCTCCTCCTCTGCTGTTAGAAATGACGTTTGTATTGTATACTAAATTTCAGTATATGCTAGAGTCTTTTTCTGTGCTTTGCTGTTCCATTGATTTTTCTGTTTTATTAGTTATTGAGCCCTTGATCTTTTCCAGTCAAGTCTGCTTCTCTTCTGTTTTTCATTCTTATCAGTAAATGACACTGCCTTCCTCTCAGGAGACCAGTCTAAAAGTATGAAGGCATCTTTGACATATCCCCCCCTACCCATAGCATCTAATCAATCCCCATACTCTGCTGATTCTACCATCAAAACCCATGTAGAACTGCCCATTTTCACCCACCTCCTAGACAAAGCCAGCACCTCTTGCCTGGACTTGTACGGTAGCCTCCTGACCATGTTCTCCACTTTCACTTTTACCCTACCCACTTCATTTTCTGCACAGCAGCAAGAGGGATTTTTAAATTTATTTATTTTCTTTATAAAAACTTATTGAATGAAAAAGTATAGCTTTATAAATACATTCTTAAATTGGTAGGGCAAGATCTCCATTGTTTTGGTAGCTTTTGTTTTGTTATAGTTTCTTAAACAATAGTTGGAATGCATTTTTAGTTCTTCAATCTGTTTAACCAGCCTTCCTGGTTTTTTTTTGGTCTTTAAACATAATGGTAATAATTCCTTTAAGTTCAATAAATTTTAACTATTACAAGACTTGTGCAGATGTCACTATTAGACAATATTAGTGACTGGCACTGGGTTCCTCATAAAATAGGAAATAAATTCGCTGAAAAGTGTAATCGACAACCATTTAAAGTTTTGTTATGGCAACACAAAGTATGGCTAATGAGTTGCCCCCAAAATCACCAACACAGCATGATCATCATCTTAAATATACTTCAGCTAAGCCTTTAAAAAAAGTGAGTGTCTTCACTACCCCTGAGACCACTAGTTAACTGTGGTTCATACTTTAAAATGTGAGTATACCCACACAAGAAAGTGAACTAATCACTGTTTTAAGATTTCTACATCTGATTATCATATTGCAGATTTGTCCAGGAACACAAATTTGAGTCATTAAAATGTAAATTTAAGTACCATTAACAGGCCAACTGGACTATAATTCCTATAGGTTAAGAGAAAATTTAAGGATTAACTTAAAACTCATTTATACGTTAAAAGATGTAGGAAATATATAGGCAGCGCCAAAATCAATTCTTAATCTGCTAATATTCACTTACTCCTATTCTTGGCACAAGTAATGTCAAATTCCTGGGTAGGCTAGGGGAAGGAGGGCAAATTTTTAGATTCTTTTGAAGGTTTCATCGGAGATGGTCTCAAGTCCAGTGTCCATACATTCAGAAACATTGATTTTCTAGGTACTTTAAATTACTGTTCTCTTAAACCTGAAGAAGCCTTTATGTCTTTCTCCCTTAGACATGGCGTATGAAATATTGCAGAGAGAACTGGACATACCTACTAGTCATCTTTATGACAATCAGTGATTTAAAGAAGTCATCTCTGTAATACCTAAGGGTTGTCTAAGGCTAAAGAGGTCAATTTGAAAGCCAATTCGGGAACCAGGAGCTCTGACAAGTTGTGTGTTTTATGGCTGGTTGGCTTTCAAGAAATGATATGCCTACTAAAGCTGTTATTTTTAGAGGATAGGAATCTCAGAAGTAATTACTTTGAAAATACAGCCAAACAGCAGTACTTCTTACCTTGTGGAACAGTGTGTTACTAATTTCTCATTCATAATTTGAATCCAAAAAAGTCTTAACAGCCTTCCTTTTTTTTTTTGTTTGTTTATTGTTGTGCTTTAAGTGAAAGTTTACATTTCAAGTTAGTCTCTTATACGAAAATTTATGCATACATTGTTATGTGACCCTTTTTGCTCTCCCTGTACTGTGACAGCACACTCCTCCTTTCCACCCCTGATTTCCCATGTCCGTTCAACCAGCTCCTAACCCTCTCTGCCTTCTCATCTCACCTCTGGACAGAAACTGCCCATTTAGTCTCATGTATCTACTTGCGCTAAAAAGCACACACTTCATGAGTATCATTTTATGTCCCACAGTCCAGTCCAATCTTTATCTGAAGAGCCTTCCT